ATTATAGAAAACATTGTAAAGAGCAAGAATTCCAGAATAATTAATGAGCTCATGCAGAACTTGTACATAGACCATGAGGCAGTCAGTCATTCTATCAGAAGAACAAGGGAGTACTGTGCAGTTTAAAATTAGGAAATGTGTGCATCTGGGTTGTATTCTTCTACTACATTAATTTAATCTGTATGCTTCCTCAATTATAATTGGAGGAAGACTCGTTAACAACATATACTATGCAGATGACACAACCTTACTTGCTGAAAATGAAGAGGACTTGAAGCACATACTGAATATCAAAGACCACAGCCTTCAATATGAATTATACCTCAATATAACAAAAACAAAAATCTTCACAACTGAACCAATAATCAACATCATGACAAAGGAAGGAGCTATTGAAATTGTCAAGAGATTAATTGTACTTGGACTCAGCATCTAGAGGTCAACAAATTGCCCCATATTCTATTGGGCAATCTGTTGCAAAAGATCTCTTTAAGATGTTAAAAAGCAAAATAACACTTTGAAGACTAAAGTGTGCTGCCCCAAGCCATGGGCTTTCCAGTCATCTCATATGCACAGGGAAGCTGGGCACTGACTGTGGATGCCTGAAGAAGAATTGATGACTTTCAATTATAATGTTGGCAAAGAACATTGAATATGAGGGGGCTTCCCAAAGTTCATGGAAAAATGGAGTTAAAAGACAATGGAGTTTTAAATGAACTTTTTGAAGTTTCCTCATATAACATGGACTGCAAGAAAAACGGATAAATATCTTGGAAGAAGTACAGTCAGAATGCACCTTAGAAGGCAGGATGGCAAAACTTGGTCTCACTTATCTTGGATACAGTATCAGGAGGAACCAGTCCCTAGAGAAGGACATCATGCTTGATAAAGTAGAAGGTCAGGAAAAAGAGAAAAATCTTAATGAGTTGCAATCATAGACTGAAACATAACAATGAGTGTAGGATGTGACAGGACCAGGTTGGGCAGTGTTTTGTTCTGTTGCGCACAGGGTTGCTACAAATTGAAACCAATTCGATGGTACCCATAATAGATTTTATTATGCCAACTTGGCTTCCCTAGGAACATGTGCAGAGTTTAATCAAGTTGCACCTTGATTAGAGGCTTCTGTGGCATTCTTCTTCAATAGGAACCAAACCAGTAAGAAAGGACTCAAAGATCTCAATTTACCTTAATTGGATCTGATGAGTGATGTTTGGGTCATCAGTTTACACGTTTTTCTGTTTTAATTCCATAGTGTTTAGAAACTTGGCTTGAGAATCACACAGATCACAGTCTGATTCCCATTTCCACAACTGCCCATGGTTGTGTGTTCTTTAGTAAGCTTTTTTTTTTTTAATCGTTTTATTGGGGGCTCATACAGCACTTATCACAATCCATACATACATCAATGTGTAAAGCAAATTTTTGCATTTGTTGCCCTCATCATTCTCAAAACATTTGCTTTCTACTTGAGCCCTTGATACCAGCTCCTCATTTGCCCCCCACCCTCCCTGCTCCCCAGTCCCTCATGAACCCTTGATAATTTATAAAGTATTATTATTTTGTCATATCTTACACTGTCCGATGTCTCCCTTTACCCACTTTTCTGTTGTCCATCACCCAGGCAGGAGATTATATGTAGATCCTTGTAATCAGTTCCCCCTTTCTACCCGACCTTCCCTCCATCCTCCCGGTATCACCACTCTCACCACTGGTCCTGAAGGGATCATCTGTCCTGGATTTCCTGTTTTTCCAGTTCCTATCTGTACCAGTGTACATCCTCTGGTCTAGCCGATTTGTAAGGTAGAATTGGGATCATGACAGTGGGGGGGAGGAAGCATTTAAGAACTAGAGGAAACTTATATGTTTCATCGTTGCTACATTGCACCTTCACTGGCTCGTCTCCTCCCTGCAACCTTTCTGTAAGGGGATGTCCAGTTGCCTACACATGGGCTTTGGGTCTCCACTCTGCAGCACCCCTCATTTATAATGATATGGTTTTTTTGGCCTTTTATGCCTGATACCTGATCCCCTCGACACCTCGTGGTCACACAGGCTGGTGTGCCTCTTCCATGTGGGCTTTGTTTCTTCTGAGCTAGATGGCTGCTTGTTTATCTTCAAGCCTTTAAGATCCCTACACTTTATTTTTTGATAGTCGGACACCATCAGCTTTCTTCACTACATTTGCTTATGCACACATTTGTCTTCAGTGATCATTGTCGGGAAGGTGTGCATCACGGAATACCAATTTAATAGAGCAAAGTATTCTTGCATTGAGTAAGTACTTGAGTGGAGTCCAATGTCCATCTGCTGCCTTAATACTAAACCTATAAATATATACACATAGATCTATTACCCCACCATCCTATATAAATATATTTACATATGTACATGCCTGTATTTAGACCTCTATAAATGCCCTTTGCCTCCTAGTTCTTTCCTCTATTTCCTTTTACTTTCCTCTTGTCCCACTATCGTGCTCAGCCTTCATTTGGGTTTCAGCAATTTCTGTCGGTTACATTGCCCTTGCTGAGTCCTTACCAGTGATAAGCTTTTTAATGCTAAGATACCTCAAATTCAGTGTGAGGATCATATAATCAGCCCACAAAAACATTCAGCACTGTGCCTGAATTTTAAGGGAATGAGATTGATAATCATTATACATTTAGTTTTATGTTTTTTTTATTAATGTTTGTGTCTTTCACAGACTGAAATCATTGAGGTCTGTTGCTACCTCTTTTAGCAATCATTACATCTCCAGCCACTTCACCAGGTTTTCTAGGCTGTAATCTTTATGGAAACAGATCACCAGGCCTTTCTTCCGTGGTGCTGCTGGGTATAATAATAGTTTGATAAGTACTTATTGAATATGGAAATAGCTTAATAGAAAACTTTGCAGTAAATATTATTTAAAGGATGGACAAGTCAAAGATGATAATCTTCTCAGCTCTGACATAAAGTTGTACCAACATATATCTGCAGAGCCCTTTTTAAATCACACTATTACTTCTAGTGAAAGGGTGTATGCTTAGGTCAGTTTTTCAGCTGTAATTCATTTACACTGTGATTCATTTACACTAAAAGTTCCTTGTCTTTGTTCATAATGCGGCTAACATTTATACTCAAAAATAGCACCGGAAATGGGCTCCTCTTGGTCTTTCCTGTTTGTAATTTCTCAATGTCATCGAGTTAATTCAATTTATAGTGACCCTATAGGACAGAGTACAACTGCCCTTTGAGTTTCTGAGGCTGTAAATCTTTACACGAATAGAAAGCCTTATCTCTCTTCTGCAGAGTGGTTGGTGGTTTAGAACTGCTGAAGTTGTATTAGCATTCCCATTCATAATCCACTACCCACCAGGGTTCCTCTGTTTGTAATAGTATAATCTAATATCTGAAGCATGGCTTACGTTGTTCAAGGCACTTTTACAAATATATATACATGGTGTGTAAAGACATTTATATGAGATGCTGGTGTAGAGATAGAGAAGTACTCCTACGCCCTCACCTTGCTCTCTTGGATCTCAGTTTTACATGTGATGGCTTGGAAGATCGCTATAGCAAGAACTAGAAACTATAACTTTACAGTTACCTTGTGGAGCCATTGAGTTCTTTATGGATCTGGGCAGAGGCTGTAAATTCACAACATCCCTGATAGGTGATGAAGTTGTTATTTCACAAGATTACTAAAGCTTGTATTGTTGTTCCTATGTGCCAGGGGAATCCTGGATGCCTGATGTAATAGAACAAGCATGTCCCCGTCCCATGCTTTCTCATGATCCTTGAGATGGTGAAGCACATTAGTGTGGCTATTATATCAAGGGATCACACTGAGTCTCCCTTATTTTCATGGACCACTCTACTGTACCAAACAAGGGCTTTACTTCTCTAATTATACAATGTGATCAAGAGAGCATTTGATTGCAGGACATATGAAGGAATTTCGAGATTCTCCTTCAGCAGATAAAGTCATTTATAAAGTTTTTATAAAGTCTACATTTTTATGACTTTAATCCATCTATTTGAAATATGAAAGTTAATGTTTTCATACTGTAAAATGATTCTTTCTTGGGGGGTATATATTTAAAAGCAACATAATGATATTCTATCAATGTATCAGAGTTTTAGTCAAACTTTTTTTTGGTATTACATTATTTTTGAAATTTGGTGTGAACTATATGTGTGCCTCACATGAATACTATTCATCAAAAGAATACATTGTTGGAATATAACATTCATTAAAACTTCTTTACATAATTGTGTCTTTTATAACACTGCAATTTTATTAAATGTGTTTGTACTCAGGGAAACTGTTTACTTATTAAATAAATTTGTTTGTGGGCAGAGAAACTAAGAATTTAATGTGAAGAATAAGGTAGAACTAGGCATTTCACCCACAAAAATTCTATTTAATCAATGAATGCACATTGAAAAGACATTTAAAATGCTGGAACTATCTTTACTCACCAGCTATAAGGAAGTGTTTGCACATATGGTGGTACTGCTATAGGAATGCTATTCAGACATCAACGATTTTTTGACAGAATTTTTAAGCCAAGGCAACTTCTCACAATGCAATATTGAGTGAAAGGAACTTTAGAATATAATCTTTTAAACATATGATAGAGATGGCATTAAATTATACATGTGCACAGGAAAAGTGACTACAAATAAACAATATAAAGCAGTGCTTGTTTGAGGTGTGGGTGATCTCTATATGCTTCTTTATATGTCTGTGTTTTCCAAATATTCTACAATGATCTGTAAGTCTTTGGTATTAAAAAATATATGTACACGAAGGAAGCTACTAAAACGAAATATTCTTCCAAAATATATTACCAATAGCTCCTACAGCATGTTGAGACTTTCTATAATTATTTTGCATGATACTTTGATATTGCCCTTGTCTCCCTGATGAATCCTTAGCCTTCTTCATTAAGAGCATGCACTGTTCCTCTCTGCTTCCCTGCAGGCCTGTACCATAGTGATCCTCCACCGTCATGAACAACCAGAGCTGCCAGGAACGGTTCATCTTGGTGGGTTTCTCCGACCGACCCAGTCTAGAGCAGATCCTCTTTGTGTTTGTCCTCATCTTCTACCTTGTGACCTTAGTGGGCAACATCATCATTATCTTGGTCTCCCGCCTGGACCCCAGCCTCCACACACCCATGTACTTCTTCCTTACGAACCTGTCCTTCCTAGATCTCTGCTTCACCACCAGTTCCATCCCGCAGCTCCTTTTCAACTTGAGCGGCCCCAACAAGACCATCAGCTATGCAGGTTGTGCCATCCAACTCTTCATGTTCTTGGGGCTGGGTGGCACCGAATGCGTCCTCTTGGCAGTCATGGCTTATGATCGCTTCACTGCAATCTGCAAGCCCCTTCACTATTCTGTCCTAATGCATCCTCAGCTCTGCTGGACTTTGGTGTCTGTGGCTTGGGGGGTTGGGCTGCTCAACTCCCTGGTTATGTCTCCAGTGACCATGAAGCTACCACGTTGTGGAAGATGTAGGGTGAAACATTTTCTGTGTGAGATGCCGGCTCTGATCAAAATAGCCTGTGTAGACACTGTTGCTGTGGAGAGCACAGTTTTCATCTTATCAGTACTGATTGTCCTGGTGCCCTTGTCTCTAATTCTCATCTCTTATAGCTACATTGCCCTTGCTGTACTGAGAATCAAGTCAGCCGCAGGAAGAAGGAAGGCTTTCAACACATGTGGGTCCCATCTCACTGTAGTCTCCTTGTTTTATGGGAATATTATCTATATGTATATGCAACCAGGTAATAATTCTTCTCAGGACCAGGGCAAATTCCTAACCCTCTTCTATAACCTGGTGACCCCCATGTTGAACCCTATTATTTACACACTGAGAAACAAAGATGTGAAAGGTGCGCTGAAGAGGCTTATGTTTAAAAAATAAGGTGACAGGAATGAGGCTTAGAAAAATATAGTAGAAAGCCCCAAATCTGATGCAAATGATTAGCCTGATTATAACTAAAATTTAATTTACATACTATCTAGTGGTTGTCATGTCAAAATATCTTTTCTCCCCTTTTTCAGTTTGAAAAATTCAACAAGAACATGAACAGATACTCTAAAGCTGTGGATCAATTAACATATGTTATGACTTAATAAAATCATATTATCACTTCTTTTCTATTGATATTTTATATAGTTGACATTTTATCTTTTAATTGAGCCAATGAAGTGTCAAGATAGATAGATAGATAGATAGATAGATAGATAGATAGATAGATAGATAGATAGATAGATAGATAGACAGATATTGTAATTACTTTTATAATATCATATTAACTATTTCAGCTCAAATATTGTTTCACTGGTCAGTTACACTTGAATTATCTGAAGAAAAAAATTAATAGAACCCCAGATACCAACTGCAAATATTCTGAAGTTTAATAAATCTGGGGATAAAAAAGCTCCTGTGTGATTTTGACATATAGTAAAGTTTGGAAGAAAATAAATTATTCATTTAAGGTCCTTTCCTTTTACAGATCAGGAAACTGAGGTGCAGTGAAACATATTTATCATGAGACAAATCTAAAATAGTAGAGCCCATAATTAGTCTTTGGATGTATCACAATGAGTATGAATGTTTTCACTTTTTACACACAAATTTTATTTAAGGGATTATTAGAACAATAAACACAAAGTGAGTACAGAGGCCATGTTTATGTAAGTATAGATACATAAGCATTTGTACACACAACATGAGAGCAATTGTGCCAAATTTCATGTAATCAATTTTCCAGATTATATGAAAGAATTGGGATTTATTCTATGTTTTCCTGGTGGAGAAGAAAAGTAAATACATACCAGTGGATCCCCACACGATTGTGCATCTCACAGAAAAGGCCTCATCCTAGTGATCCTTTTGAAAAAACTTTTTTTTAATTCAAGAAAATATTATTGAAGATAAATTTGACAAAAATGAAAAAAAGAGTTAACTAAATAATTTTAGTATGTTCTAGTCTCCAAATTGGAGTAGAAAAGTACTATGGCTATTTAAGAGAATGATGAAAGAGGATTTTCCAAGAGTAAAACTGAGTGCCACCCCCTCCCCTCTCCCCACCTCCCTATAAGCAATAGCCTTATTGACACTCGACTCAGCACCAACTCATGGAGATCCCATGTATTAGTGTTCTTGGTACACAGAAGCAGACCACCAGACCCTCCTGTAGCACCACTGGGTGGACTCAAACCACCAGTCTTTAGGTTAGTGGTTGAGTACAAACCATTTGCACCAACTAGGGTTGTCGTAACAATGAAAGAGCACTTACTTTTTTTTTAGTGTGAAGGGTGATCCCATCTGTGGAATACTTCCCTTTCCTCTGGATGGTCGCTTGCATCATAGCAACAATTTTCATGGAGTCCATTTCCTCACCTCCATAAATGACCTCCAAATCCAAGAGCCTGCTGAAAATTGATTCTAAATACTATAAAATCTCACTAATGTCTCCTCAACTTTACTTACATTATTATTAAACCTGGTATGGGTACCTATGCAACTATTATTTCATCAAATTATCTATGTAGTGGGCAAATTTAACTTAAAGAAATTAGGTTCATCCCCCCACAGAAGGGTGACAAGGAAGGGACAATTCAACAGGAGTACAGTATAGCACCAGTGAAACACACATCATTCTTCTAATTCCTGAATGCTTCCCCCCCCAACCCCACCCCTACCATGACCCAGTTCTACCTTCCAAACGTGGCTACACCAGAGTACACATATTGGTACAGATAGAACTCTCAAAGTGGGAGTAGCAATATCATGAGCACAGGGTGATGGTGGTGGGAAGGGGAGAAAGGAGGAACCCATCACAAGGTTGGATATATATACACCCCCTCCTGGTGTAGGAGGCCTGGTATGGTTTAGTCAAGGGCAATGTAACCAAGAGGAATTACTGAAACGCAAACAAAGGCTGAACATGATAGCGAGACAGGAGGAAACTAAAAGGAAACAGAGGAAAGAACTAGGAGGCAAAGGGCATTTATACAGGTCTAATACAGGCATATACATATGTAAATATATTTATATATGATGATGGGGAAATAGATCTATTTACATATATTTATAGATTTAGTATTAAGGTAGCAGATGAATATTGGGCCTCTACTCAAATACTCTCTCAATGCAAGAACACTTAGTTTTATTAACCTGGCATTCCTTGATGCTCACCTTCCTGACAAGATCACTGAAGACAAAATGGGTACATAAGCAAATGTGGTGAAAAAAGTTGATAGTGCCCAGCTATCAAAAGATATAGTGTCTGGGGTATTAAAGGCTTGAAGATAAACAAGCGGCCATCTAGCTGAGAAGCAACAAAGCCCACATGGAAGAAGTACACGAGCTTGTGTGATCATGAGGCATTGATAGAATCAGGTATCAGGCATCAAAAAGCAAAAACTCATATCATTGAGAATTAGGGGGAGTACTGAGTGGAGACCCAAAGCCCATCTGTAGCCAACTGGACATCCACTAACAGAAGGGTCACAGGGAGGAGACGAGCCAGTTAGGGTAAAATGTAGCAATGATGAAACTACAACTTTCCTCTAGTTCTTTAATGCTTCTTCCTTCCCCTCACTATCATGATCCCAATTCTACCTTACAAATCTGGCTAGACCAGAGGATGTACACTGGTACAGGTAAGAGCTGGAAACACAGGAAATCCAGGACAGATAAATCCCTCAGGACCAATAATGAGAGTGGCGATACCAGGAGGGCAAGGGCAAGGTGGGGGGAGAAAGGGGGAACTGATCACAAGGATCTACATGTAACCCCCTCCCTGGGGGATGAACAACAGAAAAGTGGGTGAAGGGAGACATCAGTCAATATAAGACATGAAAAAATAATAACAATTTATAAATTATCAAGGGTTCGTGAGGGAGGGGAAAATTGAGGAGCTGATACTAAGGGCTCAAAGTAGAGGAGAAAATGCTTTGAAAATTATGATGGCAACAAATATACAAATGTGCTTGACGCAATGGATGGATGTATGGATTATGATAAGAGTTGTATGAGTCCCCAATAAAATGATTTTTTTAAATAGACCCCCTTCCAGGAGGACAAATACCAGAAATGTGGTTGAAGGGAGACAATGAAATAACAATAATAATATATAATTGATCAAGGATTCACAGGGTGGGAGGGTGGGGAGGGAGGGGAAAAGCTATTAGCAAGGCCTCAAGTAGAAAGAAAATGTTTTGGAAATGTTAATGGCAACATATGGACGAGTGTGCTTAATACAATTGAATGATGGATTGTTATGACTTGTAAGAGCCCCAATAAAATGATTAATGAAAAATATAAAATAATCCTTTCATTAAGTAGAAGAAATATTTGAAGACTCAAGATATTAGAAGTATGCTGGACTCATATTTCTACCTTCATTTGAAATCCTCTACAATAAAAACTATTCAATCCCTTATTCTCATATTAACTATTTCAACTGAGTTTAATTCCTTCTTTATTTCATTTAAATTTAATGCTGCCAGTTTTATTTTCTTAAAACATGAATAATTATATAAGCCTTCGACTCAAAATATTCCTAGTGTCTCCTTGTCTTTACCCAAATAACTATTTAAAACCTGGCATTCATGCCTATGTAAAAAACAATTCACTTATTTCCTAATCTATTTATAGCTATGCTTCACCTTTCCTTTCTAATGCTATTTATTTAATTTCTTCTTTATCTCTCTGTCCCTCTTTATTTCCTCCCTTTCCTTTCACTTGGTTAGTCTTGCCAGAGATTTCTTTATTTTATAAGAATGTTCAGATATAAGATTTGTCGGTTTTTCATATTTTCTGTCACACCTATTAAAATTGGAATATTAAAGGATTCTATGAACAAAAACAATTGAATGATGCAGGAAGCACAAAAAGAAGATAGAAAGAATACACAGTCACTGTTTAAAAAAGAACTGGTCTACATTCAGCCATTTGGGCATGTAGCATATGATTAAGAACAGCTGGTAGGGGTAGTGAATAAAAACTGTCAAGCCACATTGAAGGCATTAGTAAAAATCAAGGCGCCAAGAAATTGCATAATGCCAGCTGAAATGCTTCAAGAAACAGATGCACTTACTCATGCTTGTCAATAAATTTGAAAGACAATTATATGGCCAGCAAAATGCAGATATCCAATATCATACCCATTTCAAAGAAAGGCAATCAAGTGATAGGGGAAATTATCGAACAATATCATTAATATTACATGATTACAAAATTTGACTGAGGATAATTCACAAATAACTACACTGTACATCAACTGGGAACTACTAGAGGTTCAAGCTGGATTTAGATGTGTGGTAGAAGGAATGCCATTGCTGAGGTCAGAGGGATCTTGGCTTCAAACAGAGAATATCATCAGAAAGATATTTACCTGTGTTTAACTGACTATATAAAGGTATTTGACTGTATGGATCATAACAAATTATAAATTGGAATTACAAAGAATGTCTTGGTTAATCACATCATGTGGGATGATTACATGATAGTATAACTGCCAAATTATATCATTACACACTTGCCAAAAAACTGTGAATCATAGCCTAACCAAACTGATGCATTTTATGGGAACACAGTTCAATTTATGACAAATGGGGATTTCAGAACACTTAATTGTGCTCATGTAGAAACTTTACATATATCAAGAAACAATCGCTCAGATAGCACCAAAGTTTACTTCATGGTTTCAAACTGGAAAAAGCACATAGCAGATTTGTATATTTTCTTAATATGTATTCAATTTCTATGCTGAACAGATAGTCTGAGAAGGTTGGTGGTATGAATATGAACAGGGCATCAGAATTAGAACTTGTGATAATTAGATAAAACAACTTTGCTTGCCAAAAATGAAACATTTAATGAAGAAGTTATAGTTGCACCTGAACATG